GGGCTGCTTGGCCTCTCATTCCCCAGAGGTGATGCTTTGGGACCTGGAAAGCTCCCCAGGGCTTCCTGTGGTCTGGGGTAGTGGTGGGAGCTCTGGACCCGGGCTTGGTAATGACCTCACTCCCCTCAGAGCTACTAATTGAAAGCAAGGGGCGTGGCAGGCGCAGCAGGAATGGTTGGGGGACTGACAGGGTTCCTAGAGGCTCTGCTTCCACGGGGGAGGAAAACAATTTCTCCTGGCTTCAGCTCCATCTCACCAGGCACCCACCCGGCCTCTCCTGCTGCTAACGAAGTGCCTTTAATTAGCAGCCTAATAAAATGCTCTTAATTGGCAAGGGCCAATCAGGAAGAAGCAAAGTCTCTTCTTAGTCATTGCTGATGGCTGCCCACTCCTAGGTTTTAAGGGAAGAGGGGCACAGCCTGGCCTTAGGCAGGCAGCCAAAGGGGCAGCCCTGCACCTCTAACCACGGTTTGAAGCCTAAAGCCACAGCCTCAGGCTTTGTCTTGGGCTCAGAAGTCAGGCTGAGCTGGTAGCTGCTAGTAGCTACAGAGGGATCTTTGCTGATGCCCGCTCCTTGGCGACTCTCTGGTGTTGCCTGTTAAGGGACCGCACGTGGCTGTGGCATTCTGAACCTGCACAAGGCCAGGTGACCTTACACTAGCATTCTCCAAACTCCAGTAGACGCTCAGTGACGCTGACCACAGCCTAAGTCTGTCTTAGGGACCAGAATGAGTTCCCAGGTAAGACAGAAAATGAGGCCACAGCTGAGGGGAGAGAAGGGGTCTGGCTGGAAGGACTAAATACACTAAAAGCCTATAGGTCTTTTTTTTTTTTTTTTTTTATTTCGAGACAGGGTTTCTCTGTGCAGCCCTGGCTGTCCTGGACTCACTTTGTAGACCCGGCTGTCCTAAAACTCACAGAGATCCACCTGCCTCTGCCTCCCCAGTGCTGGGACTGCAGGTGTGTGCCACTGTGCTTGGCACCCACAGGTCTTTTAATCCAAAGATCCATCAGTTCTGACAAGAGTCTGGCTTGCGACACCTGAGGGGAGGGGCAGGCAGACCTTCTCTCCCATGGCCCTTACCCTGTGCTTATTTCTGTTTATTGGTTCTGGGAAAGAACGGGGCTTACTTGGGAGCAGCTGTGACATCCCAGGGTGGCTTATGGGATGGGGCAGAGTGGCCCACATCCAGCAGCAGCAGAGAAAAGCTCGGATTCAAGGCAGGGCTGTGCTAGGATGTGGTGTGTTCATCACAATGACGAGCAAGACCTCACACTATGCCTTCAGTATGACTCAGCACAAAATGACTTGCTTGCCAGGGACTGCTCCTTTACAACATTCAGTCCTCACTTTATCTTTTCTTCCCTCCATCTTTTTAAGGTAGGATCTTGCCATGTAGCCTTGACGCTCCTGCCACAACAAAACAAGTACAGCACATGCAACTGGCTGGACCTTGGTGGTTTTTTGTTTTTGAGACAGAATCTCACTATATAGCCCGGGCTGGACTTGAACTCCAGAGATCCACTTGTCTCTGCCTCTCCAGTGCTGGTATTAATGGCATGTGTCACTACAACTGGCTCTTGATTTGGTTTTCTCATGAAAGGATTAAATCTACCATATACTTCTTCCACTGTACACTGAAAAACTCAACCATCCTTATGATGTTGGGTCAAAGAGAGAAGACACTTAGGAAATTTGTTTTAATCTTGTATTTGTAATTTACTTTTTTTTTTTTTTTTTTCTGAACAGTTAAAAAACCAAAACACACTCAATTACCATGATCCTAGCTTGTGAACATATTGGTACATTGACTACACATCACCGTAACAGAATCACAAAAATTAAAGCAGTTAGCACTGGAGAATGTAGGAAACAAAAAGCAAACAACCGAAAGCACTCTGGCTCACATTTTGTTGCCAGGGCTGTCCCCACACTGGAATCCACTGAACACCCTCGGCGAAGTTTGCTATCAATAAGGATCACTGCTTTGGGAAGGTATCAGTTTTCTTGGTACACAGTGGTCGAACCTATTCCTTCAGTGTTCAAGGGAAAGGCTGAGGAGGGAAGGCATCACACAACATCTCTACCCCACCCCTTACTCAGAAGCTATGTTGGATAAACGGGTTTGTTGGGAAGCACATATTTGGGAAGTCAGCTGCCTCTGGGAATTTCAGACCACAGGTGCTAGGCCTTTTTTGTTTAAAGACAAGGCTGCCAGCACTAGGTTTCTGGACAGCAATGCAGTTGATTCTACCTGCAAGCAGGCAGACACAGACTTGCTGCTTTGGTTTCTTTCCTCAGCTTTAAGGACTCAGGCATCACACATTAAGTATAGCTTCAAGATAGCCAGAAGCAAAGCTCAACTTTATTCCCAAGATGTTCGTCTCTCTGGTACCGACTGTGTTTACTGTGATTTAAAAGAAGGGCTCTGCACTGCCAGAGGTCATCTGTATGTGTGTCCTAGGACTGACACTACTGGAAGTCTCCGGCGCGTTTAACACTGCTGAGTTTAAGCAAATGGGGTTAGAGATGAATGTGGATCAGAAGTTACGCTGTAAACTGACCACCACGACGCAGAGCTCAGTCACAGGGCTGGGTCCCCTGGACACTTGAGAGCACACATGCAAGCCTAGCCTGCAGGCCAGCATTAATCCAGGCCTGCTTTAAATTCAGGACCAGAAGGTGTCACCGTCTAATCCAAAAGGGAGACGCTAAGACAGTTAACACCGTCACGGCCATCCCCATCTTCAGGGCTCTCCACTCCAGTCAACGGCTAAACAAGTGCATCAACTCAAGCTGCTCAAACCAGACACCAGCAAGGAAAGGTGAGCCATGAATGCAGACAGCCTTCTCTGCAGCTTCGGATTGTTACATTTGGTTTTTTTTTTTTTTTTCCCCTTACAGAATGATTTAGGGGCCTCAGTGTCATTTTCAGTTCCAAAACAAGCTACAAGGGCCAGACTTTATTACTTGTCAACAGAGCTCCAAACAGTCTGTCTCTAAAGTTAGGACAAATCAGAAAGAATTTAGCCAAGGGACAAGTGTAAAAGGCTTCCCATCCATAATTCATATCCACTTTCTAACTGCACTTCAAGGAAAAGGATGTTCCCAGCAGCAGCAGAAACGTGCGTACGCGTACGTACACACACACACACACACACACACACACACACACACACACACACCAGCAAGGCATGGTGGCCTTGTCCAGACATCACCAGTATGACACAGAGGTCACAGGCTCCAGCAGAAACCCTATGCACGCGGTCACTTGCGTAAGCACTTCAGCCTGTTGTCAGGAAAGGTCTTTTGAGCTCTACACTGCAAAGCAGATTTTAGTGAAAAAGACTGACCAAGGGAATGCTCCCCTCAGAGCCATAGGACACTGCAGCATCGTGTCTACTCCTTTAAATGTGTGGAGATGCTCTGTTTCTCTTTTCTTTTTAAAAAGGTCAAACTTTGCATTTATTCTAGCCCAGTTGGGGATCGGTGATAATCAATTCCCACTGAAATCATGCAGAGATGGTAAGTGGGGTTCACCTTCTCTGGAAATGAACTTCTACTTACCTGATTGTTTCTTCTACAATGAACTGGTAAATGACCCCCAGAGCTGAGAACTGTGAGTGATTCAAGTTTCTCAGACCACTTAACTTCATTCCCATTTCCAGCAGCAGCAGCAGAGAGGACGAGAGCAAGCTTAGCTGAGCTATCGGCTTGATCACGAAGGGTCCACCCGAGCCCAAGCACAGCGGGCGACCACACCTCCCAGCTGGCTTCGGAGCAATAGGCCTTGAGCTGAACCTAGGAAGGAGAGCACAGTCCTGGCACTAACGTCTGTACCCACATCTCCCGCTACTCCCGGGCATGCAGCCCAGGGCCTCCGTATGCTAGACAGTTGCTCTCCTGCTCCTACTTTTCAAAGCATGACTGAAGGGCTAGTAGAGTTATGGCCATTAGACCATTTCTTGAAGCAGCTTAGCTCTCTGATCTGTTTTTCAGCAAAGTCCTACCCCATTAATAGTCAACCTAACAGACAAGGATCTCAGAGCAGATAACCAGATAACTTTCTGCAGCATGTGGGGGACGAAGGGGGGAAAAAAGAGATTTCTTGGCTATAACTTGAGACTGCAGTAACACAGGAAAGGCAATCTGCACACATATGACCCGTCTCAGCATGTAATGGCAGTCACTAGGGTGAATGCTCTCTTCTCCCTCTCCTGCTGAAGTGAAGGTGGCCTAACTGTAGGTCACTCATGATTGGCCCCCTTTTCTAAGCTTGTTCAGATGACTTCCTCAAACTCAAATGTGCAGATAGAAACAGCAATGATAGCAATGACAGCTTGGCTTCCAAGGGAAAACTGAGGCTGTTTTGTGGTCTTGGGCCCACAAGGGCATGTCTAAATCACCCATTGGCAGGAAAGACCATGCATGCTGCGGGGAAACCAAGTCAGTTCTAGTTCAAGTACTCCCGGGCTCGCCCATGAGCCTCTGCATCTGGAGTCTGCTGGCAGAGGCCCAGTGCTACCTTCCAGATGGCCAGTTCGCTCCGCCCTTGTGGAAGTCCAGTTGCTTATGTTTTCACTGACTGCCAGTTTACTGGCTGGGGAAAGCAGACAGCAAATAAGGCTGGGAGAAAGAAAGGAAAAGAAGGCAGCTTTTGCTTATCAGTAAACCCTGTGTGCCAAGCTTCATCCTGACCCCCCCCCCCCCCCTCTGGCAGCCTCGCCTTTCTGCCAGCGCTGGGCTGGGGAGAAGCAGAAGGCAGGGTCTGCAGCGCAAGGCTGAGATGCTCACACTGACTCTGATATTTACTGGCCCAAACTGAGAATCTAGTTCTCTCCTGACCATCTCTTAAGCTACTGTGCTCATGGTGGGCAGCTACGGGTGCCTGGGTGCTTTTCGGCTCTGTCGAGGAAACAGATGTGAGCCATGGTACAGAGTGCAGTGGTGCCTGGCGCTGGCCATTCCAAGCCTTTCTGCAGGCCAAGCCCACCAGTGATTTAAGATGAAGCACAATGCTTTTTATTACACATCTAATTGTTAATGAGAGGAAATGCAATCAGCAGCTCCTTTCCACTCTACATGGAACCAAGGAGACTGCTGAGTCCAGAGCAAACACAAGCACTGATGGCGCCCAGGCCATTCCTGTCCCTCCCCTTGGGCACAGGGAAGGAGGAGAGAGAAAGCTGCAAATATGATGAGTGTCATGTTCATGGATCCACTGCTGTCCCAGGTTGGTCACTTGCAGCAAAAGCCTGGGCTGGAAATTAGGATACACTCAAGTCTTCCAAGTGTCACATTTTTTAGGCAATCCACCTCAAGCTAGCTGAGGACTCTCTTCACACACCTCCTCAAGTTGAAGATGGAGTAGGGGAGGAGGGAAGAGGGACAGAAACCCAAACAGTGGAGGGAGGCAGCAGGTGCAGCTCTTCCAGTGTGTGTGTTCCTCTCTCTCCCCTCCAGGATGTGTAGGCAGCCGTCTCCTCCCACGCAGTGGCCAGGACTGCTCTGGCCAGGTGCTGGACACTCCTGCAAGTTAACAGGAGGCAGCCAGGCAGCCCCTGCCTGGAAGCCGCAGCCCCTGGCCCCTAGAAGTGTGCCAGATAGGGAAACTAGTTCTTCTGCTTAATGGCAAAGCGAGAGAGATTCTGGCAAAACACTGAATATATTTATAAGTCATCTTTGTCTGGAACCCAATGGGAGAGAAACAGGTGCAGAGGGGAAGGGGAAGGGAAGGGGAGGAAGGCTTGAAAGTTCCAATCATTCACACAAGATAAAGACATCTTCTGATAGCAGCACTGAAGCAGCCGGTGTGCCGAGCAGACCATCCTGGCTGGCTGCTGACCGACTGTCCCAACAGGAGTCTCAAAGCCCTGTTCCTCGCTGACCCATCCGGGGAACCCGGGTAGGAGTTGTTGTTGTTGTTGTTCGTCCTGGTCTTGGCAGGTATGTTAAATACTGCAACATTAACGAGTCCTGTGTGAAAACACAGCCAACAGTCATTAGCCCCTTTCCTTGTACATTCACTTGCTCTAAGACAGAAACAATGTTCAAGTGGCTGTCAATGAGAAAGGCTAGGGAGTCCTTGCCTAGAACTGCTTCCCTGCACCAAGTGCTTCTGACAGCCTCCCTCGGGACTTACACAAAGGACAGGGCTTGGTGGTGTGCTCAGGGCGCTGGGGCTCGGTGCAGAGGGACTCTGATGTCCTAAGACTGAGTGTGACCAAGGGGCTCATGCTTTTCCCTGCTCCCTGGAATAGGAGAGCAGGCAGGGATGGCTCCAGAGGCTCCGGCTTGATTGGCCTATGGCACTGTGGTAAACCCACAAGAAGTGGGTACTGGAGGGAAGCTGGCTGGGGCTCAGCTTAAGGGGTTGTGTATGGAGATACTGAAAGTGCTCTGGTCTCTTCAAGGACAGATGTGTAGATGATGGCTGGAAATGTAGCTTGGAGATTAAGGCAGATGGTGATATCAGAGATAAAAATTGCAAGTCATCTATGTTGAAGTGAGTGAGAGCTACTCATAGAAAAAGATAAAACAGTCCAAGAGGAGAACCTAGATGAGTAAAAAAAGACCAAGCCAGACTCTCGGGGGATGTCTGTTCCAGCAGTGAGGAGGAAAGAAATGTACATAAAGCTAGGAATAAAATTAACTGTAGGGGTTAGGAGTACATTTCTGTGGTTAAACAGGTGTTTAGCATGAGCCAGGCATTCAATACCCAGGAGCCTCCACCCCAATAGCAAAATGCTATTACACTGGGGAAAAATTCAGATATTGACAAAGAGAGCAGACAAGGCACACGGCAATTACAAGGGCACCAGCTATGGTTACCTTTACAGGGCTTCCGATGTGTGAGACACTATGAACTTTGCAAACAGTACCTTCCTGCAGACCTGTGAGTAGGTCCTGTGCTCCTTATTCACTCACCATAGAATGACAGCCTGTGAGTTTACAAGCCCATGAGCACACAGCCAGTGTGCCTTAGTGGAGGACCTATTAACTACAGTGTCCTCTATGACAGAAGAGACCCCGAGGGAGCCCCCAGGGGTCCATCTCTCTCGGGAAGACTGGCTGGTGCAGGAGTGCGGCGAAAGCCACTCCTCTGTGCGGTAACCACAAGGCAAGTGGGAGAAACGGGAAGTCCCACCAACTCCCTGAGAGTTGGCCCTGGTTCCTAAAGCCAATAAGCATGCATCTGAGCTGATGATGGCACCAGATGCCAACTGCAAACACACCTATACAAAATACCTGGGTATTTCAGGTTTTACCCTGCCTTAGAGAGGTGCCAGGGACATGGCAAGAAAACCAACTTCACATTTCTGCGTGAGCTGAACAAACCAGCCAGCCAGGTGTTCTCTTGTGGAAGGAGTAGAGACAAAAAAGCTACCTTCTGTTCCCAGGGAGACGTTTCCAGTCACTAGCTGAGTTGCTAGACTGAAAGGGTCTCCCAAGTAGGTATTTGATCTACGAACCACACAATGACAGGCTTTGGGTCATTAGTTTTCAGATTGGTTCAAGTGTCATTTTACTTTCATAAAATTGCACTGAGGGAACTATTGCACATAGGAAGAAGCCTCTGGCACGGAACCTGGCTACCTTGGTGAAAGTGGTGCTCACTGGGGCAGCCCCTGCCCCATCTCATGCTGTCTGACTCGGGTCTCCTGCTGGACAGGGCTGGGTGAGACAGAGTCTGAGAAGGAGAAGCCTCCAGGAGCAAGCAGCGCATCCACAGCCAACACTCCCCCTCCTACCACAGTATGTATATGCAGTTGTCTTCATACCCGGGCAAGAATGAGGTCAGTGTTGGGTTATTTATCTGGAGATGTAGGTGTATGTCCGAGAAGGGGAGCGGGGTGGTTCAGCATGGGCAGTCGGGTCATTTAGGAAGTCCCAGATGAGGATGGTGTCATCATGAGAGCTACTGACAATCTGGAACTCATCAAACTGCAGTCGGAAAACTCTTCCAGAATGCTCCTGAAGAAGCAAAAACAGAGAGTCAGAACTGGAACTCGAAATCAAAAGCCTCATTGTCTGCAGGAGCTCCTAAAAAGGCTATGGTGTGCTCTCTCACTGTTTTGAACACAGGAAGGAAGCAGTTTCACTATCGGTAGGATGGAAAACTCAAATACTGGCAACAATGATCTCAGGAACACAGTGAACAAAGCAGTTATTACTTAGGCAAAGAGGACACTGACTTGTCACGACCCTCTGGGCTTGGATAGTGCTCCTTTGTACCTCACTAGTTTTATCGCCCTGAAAGTTTCTTTGACCATCAGAATTTAAGGGATGATCAGGTAGAAAGTGACAGGCTGGTAAATTTGTGCCAGCAGTTGAGAGAACTGGCTACTCTTCCAGAGGACCCAAGTTTGATTCCCAGCAACTGCACGGCAGCTAGCTCCCAACTGTCTGTAACTCCAGTTCCAGGGGGACTTGACATCCTCTGGTCCCTGAGAGCACCACACTGACTGCACGGATATAAAGGTAGGCAAAATATCCATGGACATAAAATAAACACAAATCTTTAAAAAAAAAAAAAAAAAAAAGAAAATTCCTCACTCTGAAGCTCTCCACATACAGTCAAAACTTGCAACTGTTTTTTTCTTTTGATTTTTCAAAACACAGTTTCTGTGTGTAGGGCTGGCTGTCCTGAAACTTGCTTTGTAGATCAAACTGACCTTGAACTCACAGAGACCTGTCTGCTTCTGCTTCCCAAATCCTGCAATTAAACGCATGAACTATCACGCCTGGCAAAGTGCAAAGTCCTAGCGGCTGGCTTCCGTGAGGTCAGGGGCCTAGTCTAGCACATCAGGGGGTACAAAAGCTACCCAGTCAGATGTGGACTATTTCTAACTTCCTGGAAAGTACTTTCAACACTGCTGTGAGTCAGTATCACCTGCATTCCCATCCTGTTGCTGATATTTCCCTACCCTTGAATCTCATTATATATTTGTATCTGGCTTATTTTACTCAATATTAGAACTTTTTTGTTACTACATATAAAAAGTTATTTCATTACTTTAAAAAATTAGTGGCTAATATTCTACTATAGGAATATACTACAGTTAGTTTATTCTCCTGTTGGTGGACATATGGGCTGCTTATTTTTGTTGTTGTTGTTGCAGTAAACAAAGCTTGTTTTCATATGGGAGGAGAGGCAGGCAGACCTTTATGAGTTTGAGGCCAGTCTGGTTTACATTGTAAGTTCTAGGCCAGCCAGGGCTGCAGAGAGACCTTCTTTGAAAAAGCCCAAAGAGCAAGTTGGGCAGTAGCAGTGCATGCTTTTAATCCTAGCTCTATGGGAGGCAGAGGCAGGTGGATCTCTCTGAGTTCGAGGCTAGCTTGGTTGGTCTACAGAGTTCTAGGACAGCAAGGGCTACACAGAAAGAAACCCCATCTCGAAAAACCATCCAACCAACCAGCCAAACAAAAAACAACAAAGTGTAAAACAAAACAAAAAATAGAGCTGCTGAGCTGTGATGCTACACGTCTGTGATTACAGCCCCAGGAAGACTGAGGCAGAAGGATCACCAGTTTGAGGTCAGCCTGAACTACATTTTGAGATTCTGTCTCAAACAAAACAAAATAACAACAAAGAAAAGCACCACAAACACTATAAACATAATTTTATGTGTTTTGCTTACATGTATATCTGTGTAGCACATGTCTGTCCAGTGCTCACAGAGGCCAAAAGAGGGTGTCAGATTCTGTTTTCTTTTATAGACTTATTTATTATGTATACAGCACTCTGCCTGCATGTGTGCCTGAGCAGGAGAAGAGGGCCTGAGACCTTACTACAGATGGCTGTGAGCCACCATGTGGTTGCTGAGAACCAGGACCTCTGGAAGAGCAGACAGTGTTCTTAAACTCTGAGCCATCTCTCAAACCCCGCTTTTTTTGTTTTTCCTCCACAATTACAACTGTTTGCGAGCTGCTGTGTGGGTGCTGCCAGAGAGGCTAGTGCTCTACCTGCTCAACCATCTCCCTAGCTTACATTTCTGATGGAAATATGCACTCAGTTCACAAACAGCAGACTGTGAGGCCATGGAAGGGGGCACCCCTGGCTTCTGCAGATATTTGGAAGAAGGGCTTTCAAAGCTGGCCACTGACAAAGCTGCCAGACATTGGAGTTCTAGTTGCTCTCCTCCATCATGTGATATAAAAATTTTAAAACCTAAGTTTAATCTTCACAGTGACATTTAACTGGTTAAATTCATGCTTTTCTTTATGAACTGAGCAAGTCCCCTTTTCCTAGCTTGCTCAGAGTTTTACCATGGGTGGGCACTGGATTTTGACAAGTGCTTTTTTAAAAATTTTATTTCATGTGTATGGGTGTTTTTGTCTGTACCATGCGTGTGGCCAGAGAGGCCAGAAGAGAATGTTGAATCTCCGAGAACTAGAGTTACAGATGGTTGTGAGCTGTCATGTAGTTCCTAGGAATTAGACCCAGGTCCTCTGGAAGAGCAGACAGTGCTCTTTAATCACTGAGCCATCTCCAGGCCCTTGCCAAATGTCCTTCTCTGTTGCTATAATCACACACCTCACCTGTTGAGGACATAGATGACATGAACCGAAGACAGAATGCAGCTCACACGGGAGCGCACTTGCCCTCTCACCGTAAGAACACACAGAGCTGGAATCCAAGCCGTGCACTACCATCCACAGAGCTGGAATTAAAGCCGTGCACTGCCATCCAGCAAGTTGTGTTTTCTTATTACTAATATCCTAACGGAAATATACATTTTTCTTTTGTTTTAAGACAGGTTCTCATAAATGGCAAACTGGGCTTGAACTCATGGCGATCCTCCTGCCTCAGCCCCTTGAGTGCTAGGATCACAAGTGTGAGCCATCACACCTGGCTTTACTTTCACTCTCCTCAAGAAGTTTATTTATTTTAGATGTATTTACTACTGCCTGGAGGCTAAAGAACAAGACTGAGGGAGATGTTGGCTGAATTGGTTTGATTCTCAGGCCTCTTCCCAGCTGGTGTTGATGATGGATGTCCTCTCCTCTTCATAGGCTTTCCATTTGTCTGTGTCCTGAGCTTGTCGTTTTTTAAGGAAACCAGCTACATGGGATTAATGCCTATTCTCAATGAATTCAACTGATCCTAACCATCCTTTTAAAAGGCACAGTCTTCAAATACAATCATATTCTGGAGTTTGGAGATGTAAACTTCAACACAGGCATTTCAGGAAGACAGATTTCAGCACTTTTTCAACCCAGCCCTTAGATTTCTGAGGCAGGGTCTTCCTATGTAGCCCAGGCTAGCCTCTAAACTTACAGTCCTCCTGTCTTAGCCTTCCAATTGCTAGGATCACAGGCATACACCACCTTACCTGCTTAAATATTTATTAATACCTGCCTTTGCATTTACAGTTGAGTTAATTTCTGTCTCTGTGTGTGAACGACACGTGTATAGCTGCCTGTGATGGCCAGTAACATCATTAAATCCCCTGGAACTGGAGTTACAGGTAGTTTTGAGGTACCTGCTATGATGTTAGAAGAGCAGCAAATACTCTTAGGCGCTGAGCCATCTTTCTAGCCCCTCTACCACACTTTGATACGAGGTTTCATGTAGCCAAGGCTGGCCTTGAACTCCCTGTGTAAATGATAATGACTTCTCATCTTCTGAGTGACAGGATTTATGTCCTGATTAGATGGTGCTACGGATGGAATCCAGGTTTGGGAACATGGAGCAATCACTGTCAGCTGAGCTGTATCTCTAGCCCCTAGAGTAGGTTCTTACAAACAGCACATAGCTAGTCCGCTCTTGCTTTTGACCCACTGATAATTTCTCTTAATCCCAAGAGGAGAAAATACAAAGAAACCCACACTGAGATATGACCAAATTGTTGAAAATCCCTGACAAGAACAAAAATCTTAAAGTAGCAATAGGAAAACAATCCACTGTGCGAAGCGAGGAGGGCAGTGACTTCAGAAGTCCGAGCAGAAACTGCCCTGGGAGAAAACAGAAGACAGCACTAAGGCACTGAAAGACGCTGTCAACTCAGAGTTCTTCAGCCGACAACAACATGCGGTACAAGTGATGGCAAACTGGACTGTTCCAGGCAAACAGCACTTAAAAGTGCTTGTCACCACTGTACCTACACAGGAAATGTTCTTCAAGCAGAGGAAAATTTCAAGGTGAAAACTTGGGTATATACAAATTAATGGAGGGCAATGGAGAAGACAAATGAATGAGTAAAAGTAACTTAGTCCAAAACAAACACAGGAGTAGTGGTTTGAGTAAGAAGAGCCCCAGAGGCTTACAGAGTGGACTGTTTAGTCACCAGGGAGACTAGAAGGATTAGATGTGTGGCCTTAGTGGAAGAACTATGTCCCTGGGGGTGGCCTTTGAGGTTTTGAAAGCCCATGCCATAGCCTCACACCCTCTGGCTAGGGACTCAGCTTCTCCAGCACCATGTCTGCCATGCCTGCCGCCATGATAATGGATGGGGAAACTGTATGCAAGCCCTCAGTCAAACGCTTTCCTTCCCTTATAAGAATTTCTGTGGTCACAGTGTCTCTCCACAGCAATAGAATCATGACTAAGACATAGTGACTGATTGCTCAATGAAAGTCAGTGTGCTGTGAATTACAGCACACACATAGTAACTTTACATGGTCAACCACTTTGGAAAACAGGCTGTTTCCAGAAATACTGAATATATACTTTGTATGATCCAGCCATTCTACTCCTTCTCCAGAGTTCAGACATCCTGAATGTTAGGTCAGAATCTAAAATACTGGGCTCTGAATGCCCGATCTCATCTTTTCTCATCTTTTGTTGTATAAAACAACAACAAAACAAAACCAGGTGTGGTGGTGTGTACCTGTAATCCAGTACTCCTGAAGTAGAGGCAGGAAGATGAGAAGTTTAAGGTTGCCGTTAGATACATTATCGAGTTTGGGGCCAGCTCAGGACACAAGAGATCAAGTTTGAAAAGAAAAAATGAGATAGGGATAAAAAAGTACACATGCTATGACTGATTCATTCACACAAAACCCAACTAACTCATAAAATGCCAACTAACCAAGGTTATATAAAGCAGGCCAGAATTTTATAAGGGAACAAGGTGGGCCCAGATGATGCATGACAGAATTGCCATGCACACATATAGACAATTATTATTATTAATTTTTGAGACAGGGTCTTACTCTTTAGTTCTAGCTGGCTTTTGGAATTCAATGATGACCAGGCTGACCTTGAACTCAGATCATCTTCCTCTGCCTCCCCATAGCAAGCTAGGACCAAGGGCATGTAGCACCACACCTGGCTCTGTATCAAAATGGTAACTTGAATACTCTTTTGTTGTTGCTATTATTTGTTTTGTTTTGGGGGACAGGTCTTGCTATATAGTTTAGGCTGGTCTTGAACTCAAGATCATCTTCCCTTATGCCCATGAGTTATGAACTTAAAGGCATCCACCATCATTCCCTACATGTAAAGTTTGTTTCTTCCCTTTAAAGATAGGGTCTCTACAGCCTCGACTAGCCAGCAACTTGCAATCCTCTTGCCTCACTTCATGCCTGGGACTACAGACACATGCCAAAATGCTCAGTGCGTAAAGTGCACGTTTAAAAGGCAAGAATGACGACAGCAGACAACGCACACGTGCATTGAAAGATGCGTCTGCTTTAACCGTCTGGAACGCCTGGCAATTCCCCTGCCGCACCTCTGCATGTCGAGATCACAGGTGTGAGCTACCCTATCCAGCTTAAGGCAGATGAAGTGCCTTCTCCCAGAGCTGACACTCCAAATTCAGAACACAGGCTTTTTACCTTTCATTTTTTCCCTGAACTGTTCAAAAAAGATACGCTTACTCTAGGTCCACACATATCTAACTAAAGTGACATTTGACATTTGTCAACCTGAGCCTTTGGCTTATAAACATGGCAAAACAAAATGCTTCTAAGCAGGTGGTGGACACAGGCCTATAAGCCCAGTGCCAGGGAAATGGAGACAGAAGGATTGCAGGGTCAACACAGCCAGGGTTGTGCAATGAGGTCCTGTTACAAACAAAGGATTTGAAAGCGATGCGTTTCCTTCTGACTTACTTCCCTCCCCAAGTTCAAACATGCGGTAGAAGGGATAACAAAGATGTCCTGGAGCCTCCGCCTACTGAATGAATTGCAGAACCAAGGAGCTGTCCAGGGGGTTCCAGGACAGTCCCAGGGTACTTTTTTGCAAGTACAGGTGTTCAGGTCCTTAGATTCTGGACAAGTTCCAAGTTGAGTAATTATTTTCTCTCCCGCTGTACCTCCTGCTGCTTCTGGTGGATATGGAATTCTTACTCACTTCCTGCACTCCATGTGGGAGAAGCACTGTGCAGCTGTCAAGCAGCTGCCACAGGCCTCTGCATATATAGTCTCTAAAGCAGTTTTGGATGAAAGGCACTATATAAACATAGTTTACTGTCACGTATTGGTGGCCCTTCTACTTGGTAGGCTTTGTGAGAGTCTAACTGTACATCCAGATGTGTATTCTGCAGCACGGTAACATTCAATCTCTTCCCCGCCCTGCTCTTGAAGCCCACTCTGTAACAGTACAGCTCTTACCACCAGCGTCCGTAGACAGAGCGTCCCTGCAGGAGCACGGGGGTCCAAAGCAGCCACAAGATCCCACACTTTGATCTTTCTAAAGACCAGAAAGGGGAGAAAATCCTAGTTGAAAGCAAACTTAAGGGAAGACAAGAACAGCAAAAAATTGGGGCAATAAATATGGATAGTGGACGTAGCTCACAGAAATCAGATGACTCCTCTGTCTGGGAGACTGAGTTCTCACATCCCCTCTTACAATATCCACTTTGTATGCCTGGCCTGTTATGGTGAATTTGTCTGGTTCTTTGCTTTATAGGGCAAACCAGACAAATATATAATCAAATAGCCAAAGTAATAATCAACATAAACACATAAGTAAAGTGATTGGGAGGAATATTTAGAAAACAGTGAGCAAAAGAGAAGTGAGTATCAACTAAGCAACAAGGCACAGAAACTTCGAGCCAAGGAAGGGTTAGAGTTAACGTCACCGACGGGAGGGAAGGCAGGAGCTAGGTATTGAGCCCAGGGCCTTGCGCATGCCCGGCACATGCCCTGCCAGTGAGCTGCCAGCTGGGCGCTCAGGTTTGTCCCTCATTGCCAGCAGACTCACCCGTCATAGGCCCCACTCACTATCCTTTTGCTGTCAAACCGGATGCAGCGCACCAGTTCCTCGTGGCCCTCCAACACCCGCAGACACGCGCCGCACTCTATGTCCCACAGTCTGGAAGAGAAAACGGAGTCAAGGAAACCTTCATGGATTTTTGTTTTGTTTTTTGAAGACTGAGCTTCTCTCTGTAGCCCTGGCTGTCCTGGAACTCACTTTGTAGCACAGGTTGGCCTCAAAATCATAGCTCATAGAATCTTTTCTAGGCCTTGAATATTACACTGTATTTCATGCATCCTTTAAAAATTCACAAAGGGGTCTAGAAAACTGGCTCAGTGGTTAAGACTTCTGATTCCCAGCACCCATTAGGGTTCATAACTTTGTAACTCCAGTTCCAGAGGATCGAACACACACTTCTGACCTCCTTGGAACTTAGGCACACATGTGGTACAAATACATACACAGAGGCAGCACAGTCATACACAAAACAGAAATATGTTTTAAGCCTGGCATGGTGGCACACGCCTTTAATTCTAGCACTGAGGTAGGCGGATGTGAATTCAAGTCCAGCTTGGTCTACAAAGTGAGTCCAAGACAGCCAAGCTACACAGAGAAAAACCTGTCTCGAAAAACAAACAAAAAACAAGAGAAATATATTTTAAATTTTCACAAAGATCAGTCACTCACATAAAAGTATATTATTTTCAGTATAATTTATTTCCTATCTGCTATATAATGTGGGTAGAAAAAAGTGTGTGATTAACATATGAATGTAGGTAAGTGCTTTCAAAACACAATACGTTATGTAAGTCTAAGTCTAGGTTGTTTTTTGTTGTTATTATTTTGATTTTGTGAGGCAGGGTTTCTCTGTGTAGCCTTGGTTGTCTTGGACCTTGCTCTGTAGCCCAGGCTGGGCCGTGAACTCACAGAGATCTGCCTGCCTCTGCCTGAGTGCTGGGATTAAAGGCGTGTGCCATCACCACCTGCTTGAAGCCAGGTTCTTACAGGCAGGAATTCAATGTACAGAAAGAGGCTGAGCAACTCAACACAGTGCTGCTTCCTAACATCACCCCTACGAATGTGACGCACGTGTCAGGGACATCTGACTCTCACAAAGCACCTCCACCTCTGTTGGAGGATGCCACTCTCACCACTGTCCAGGGCAGCCACCATATGACAGAAAGGCAAACACAAATCTCAGAAAGTCTGCTGCGATCAGCAGCTATTATTTTTTTTTTTTGATATGCTTTAGCCCAATCCCAGTGATTTCTAGGAATGGCAGATTTGCTATGCAGCATGCCTAGCTCTTCTTTTACCTTCCCTCAGGCATCGTAGGAAAGGAGAGGGCAGATAAAATTTCCAAATTCTAACCATCTTTCTGTCATTCATGTTTGTAAGGGTAAAATCCAAAAAAGGACATAGACTTGTGCAACCTTCATATTTAAAGACAGTCAGCTCTCTGCCTAACTACTGTATTGAAGCAAAAAGTCATGATTTCTAGCAGAGAAACAAATCTTTTTTTTTTTTTGGTGTTTTCAACAACACTGGCATGGAGAAAAGGCCTTTATTTGCATTTTTCAACTGCAGGTAACACATCATCAAAAGGCTTTTCTATGCTGTCTCTCTGGTAGGGCAAACTTTTGACCTGTGATAGCCACAGAAAGGAGACATATCTGATTATAAACACTGTGGGAAGGACGGCTGCTGCTTGCCTGATGGTGTTGTCCGATGACCCGCTCACCACCAGCCTGTCTCTGTACTGCAAACAGGCGATCCCGCGCTTGTGTCCATTTAGGGTCCTCACAAATTCACAAGTACTTGTGTTCCACACCTGAGACAGAAAAATGACAACTGAGCAGTTGATCAGGTACTTTGATTTACAGTAACCAGGACCAATGCAAAGCTGGCTGCTGTGATACAAGGATTTGTCAAATTGATTTACTCTTATGGAATCAGTCTCCTTTTGAGGGAGTATTGTTGCGTGTGCACACTTGGTGTCCTCCCTAGCTCCTTCCCACCAATTGTTTTAAAGAGATGTATTTATTATTTTTATGTGTCTGTGTACGCCACACGTATGCAGGGATCCGGAGGCCAGAAGTTGACTTGGCTGGAATTAGAGTTTTAAGTGGTTTTGAGACACTATTTGCATGCTGACAACTAAACCCAGGTCCTTTGCAAAAGCAGCACAGTCTCAACACACTGAGGCACCTCACTAGCCGCTTCACCTTATTCTTTGAGACAAAGCTTACTGATCTGGCTGGAATGGCTTGCCAGTGAGCACCAGGGACTTGCTGTCTTTGCCTGTGTAGCACTGAGATCACAAACCTATGGTGCCACATCTTTTTCATTGCTGAATGGGAGTTTTTGTGCTTGTGTGGCAAGGCCTTCATCAACCTGGCCACGTCCTCAGCTTCACAATTTATATTTTCCTGAACTTAAATTTTCATTTGCTTTTCTCACACTGGCAATAACTGCCATCATCAGTGGCACTGTTCTCACCTTCCCATGCTGGGTCTTGGGCACACTAGGCAAGTGGTCTACCAATGACTTACAGCTCTAGCCCATTATCATCATTTACAGAAATAAGAATGGAATTTAATATTACATTATTCTACAATAATGCTTCCTTATGCAGTTGTCCTCAATCACACTTTTACACAAACTCCTTACTGCAGCTTGGGAACTCAGTGGACAGCGCCCTATTACCTTTATGGTTCTATCTCCAGATGCAGAAACGATGTACTTGTCATCAAAGTCTACGACATTGACCGCAGCTCGGTGTCCCACCAGCACCCTCCTGAGGGTGATGTCAGTTGGGGAAGCCATATCCCATACAGCAATGGAACGGTCTTTGGAACAGGTCACCATCATGCCATTATTGAAGCGCAAGTGCAGAACTGCCTCACAATGGTGAATCAGCGTGTTGAGCATCTCGCCTGCATTTACATCCCACACTCTGAAAAGGACACCCCAAAGTTAGACTACAGTGCATTGCCTGTTTTTGACCATGGAGCTTACCATCAATGACCCCCGACACCTTTTTTTTTTTTTCCTTTCTTTCTTTTCTCCTTTTTCATACAAGAAAGAAGCTCTGTGTAGCTCTGGCTGTCCTGGAGCTCACTGTGTAGACCAGGGTAGCCTTGAACTCAGAGATACACTTGTTTCTGCCTTCTGAGTGCTGGGACTAAGGCTGTGCACCCCCACGCCTTGTTCCCCTTCTTTCATGGCCAAGTGTGCTCTTCCTTTGCAGCCCCAAGGTGAAGTACACCCGGAACACGAGAAATCGGTGAGAGAGGAAAGGCAGGGCTTAGTGGGTGCTTCCTGGGGAGAACCTTAAGATGGGAAACCTGGCCAAGCTGTAGTGCTCGGGGATGAGGATACAGACACGACACCTGACAATCTGTCCCAGATTTTCAGTCATTGTTCTAACACTGACATTCAATAAAGAAGACATATGTAAACTAGGAATTTAATAAAGAACAGCTGTAGTATTTGTCCCAGTGACTGCACCATGGCCAAGATATTCTGCCACAGACTTAACAATGTGGACTTGATTCTTCACAAGAGTAAGGACCCTTGGGTAGCTTGAGAACTGGACCATGACAGAATTACCTTGATCACTCTAATTTGGATATTGGTTTTCTTTTTTAAAACACTTTATTTCCCTTTTCCAGCTTACACTCCTTTTGGAAAGTGATTTTTTTTTTTTTTTTTTTTTTGGTGCTGCAGTGTTGCTAAGAGGTCGAGTGCTGCTTAGCACACTAAGCTCTGGGTTCGATGCCAACACTGCCGAGACAACAAACAGGCAAACACCATTTCTCCCTAGCTTGTAAATGATCTAAGCATCTACAATGCTCCAGCCCCCTCGAGGCGCGCCACAGCACAGAGAAGAGGTAACGGCCAACAGCTGCAAGGGCAGGGTGTGCTGTGCCCAGAAGCGAGCGTAGGAGCTTTTCCTACTAGAGACTTTAACAATGCAGCTACCGCCTTTTATTCCAGTGTTTCCCCAAAGTTACTTTTGATGTATTATGCTTACTAAATCCTTTAGCTTAAGGTGAAATTCCTAGCAGGTTTCCAGCAGTGCTGCTGGTACCCTGAACTCAGGCTACACTGGACTCCAGCAGTATAATGGCTGTGTCATCAAATCACCAAAGCCTCTGGAAATTGAAGGCCCCTCCCCGACTGAACCTCGCAATTAAACACTGTGGGAACGGCAGGGGAGGGGCTGGCAAGGATGGAGCCCTGCTCACCTGTATGCACTTGAAAGAGCTCATGCATGCCCACGCTGCAGTTATAATCACCTGGAAGAGAGGCTTCATTCCCTTCCTGTCATCCCGCGGGGCAACCTCATATGGAATGCAAGACTTCCCATAAAGCGGGGGAAGGTTCCTATGACAGGTGCTTCTCCAAATTAAAATCTGTGTGTAGCTTCTTAAACGTGCCAAAGTGGAAACACACCCAATGGTTCCAAAATCAAGTGCTTGGTTCTAGAGTGACAAGTGGCTGCTCGAAAGCTACCAGTTCATTCTTTAGTTTCAGAAATGTGCTCAGGAAGATGGAGAAAACTACTGTGACGGAAAGTGGAGGAGGGTGTTGGGAGTTCAAAAAAGAGCAGCTGAAATTTCCTACCTGACAGTGGAATCTGACGACCCAGTTATGATCACTCTGTCATCATACTGGAGACACAGGACAGAGCCTGTGTGGCCTGTGAGAATTCGCTTGCATTCCAATGTGCTTTTATCCCAGATCTAGGAAGGCAAACGAGATCCTTTTGATCAGTGTCATAATGGGGTGCTGTGGAGACTTGTTGTTCTGTACATGTATGACCCCCAACATCAAAGCCCAGAGAGGGTGCGACCACATTCTTTCCTTCAGGTAGGGCTAAGCACCTGGATGTGATGACTTCGGTTCTAACGCTAACTTTATCCTTTTCATTAAGGGGGAAGAGTAGCCTATAATTATGAAGGCCAAAATAACAACAGCTTCCATCAGTGCACTTCTGGAAAGGAGTTCCGCCCTGGGACTAGCCATTTGTATGATCCTCTGAGGAGAAGCAGAAACTTGCCTTTCAGGAATGGATTTTGGCTTTGGTACTGGAACCAATCTAAAACTGTCACTTCCTAGAAACAATATTTGGGTTGGCTTCAGACAGCTTTATGGATGCAGTCACCCTTATCCCCATGCTACGATTCTCAACTGAAGAGGCTTCACTCACCTTGATGGTGTTGTCTCGAAGGCCGCTTACTATTTTCTGGTCATCATACTGTAAACAGTAAACTCCTTTGCTTGTTTCACTTCGGCAGTGGATTCTCTGTAAACTATGCCGTCCACATCTCCAATTGGATTCTATTGTCTAAAGAGAAGGCAAGAACTCAAACCAAAGGCTCAGTGTGGTACTCTACGGCAATAGCTCTCAACCTGTGGGTCGTGACCCCTTTGAGCTGAATGATCCTTTCACAGGGGTCTCCTAAGACCCTTGGAAAACACAGACATTTACAATTCATGCCAGGAACAAAATTATGTTATGAAATAATTTGATGATTGGGGGCAGGGGAGTCCATAACCTTGAGGGTCGCAACACTGGGAAAGTTGAGAACCACTGCTGTCTGGGCTACACACAACTAAACCCTAAAGAGCAGACACTAGTCATGCTGCATGCTTAGGCGCTCCTTAGACACGCAGCGGCCACACCTGCTCATGGCCTTCCTCGAAGGCTCTTCAGCTGCGGAGTGCAAATGCCTCGCTGCTGTTCTCTCTTGTCCTCTCATCTAGTTATCGGGGAAACAAATGTTTTAAAACTATACAAAGACTGGGAATTTTCTGCACTTTATCAACCTTACTCTAGTAAATTTTTAACTCACACTGAAAACTTTAATGAGTTTTCTGTAACAATATTGTAACTGAAACATTCCCTACCATTCAGCAAATGTTTGGAAATACATTGATTCTTACCTCAATATCTTGTATAATTTTAGGATAAAGTGCTCTATAAAAAGAGTTGGGAGGAGCATTCTCATCAGGAGGTTTGTTTTTGAATAAGTACTGTCCCCTAAAAAAACAAATATTTACCAATGAAAATCATAAATCCACTTATAAGAACCTTTATATTTTTTCAAAGTGTTTCAGTTACCATTCCACATAACTTCAACTAGCTAGCCTGTCAAGGCATGATGGCACGGTGATTTTTAGGAGTCAGATGTCAAAATGTTAAGGTCCTGGAATCTAAGGAACTTGACCAACATCGAGCCCAGTGCAGTACATCAGAGTACCAAGCCCTCTGGGGTGCTTTATGTTGACACAAGAATACTTAGAATTCATTTCCTAGTCTGCCAGGCTTCTGTGCACGTACTGATTTTATTGTTTGATAATAACATCGATTCTTCTAGCTAATAACAAAACCATTGCTTCCCCGCCTCGGTGCTGGGGCTTGAACCCAGAACTCTGTGCACATTGAGTGCAGTGGCTACCCACTCTACCAGTGCGCTGCCTTTCAGCTAGCACAGTTGGGCCGAGGCCAGAGGAAGCCAGCATGCTGGGTGACAGCAATGCTTCTGTCATGGAGATGACGCTTCTTATTCATCACTCGGGGTAAGGGGTAAGGGAGGCTAGCTGGCTGCTTAGTCACAGGGCTATTCCTCATCACTGTGGCAGGCCTCCAAAAGAGGCAATTTAGTTCACAGAAGAGAAAAAAAGGGCCAAATGAATGTCTTATGAAGGAAGAGGTGAGAACAAAGGCCAAGCACACCACACCATCATGTGTGAGGTAGGAGGCTGGCTTTTAGGTGTGCTCCTATGTGCACACAGATGGATTCCCTGACTTTTAGCATGTTAGCATCCCCTTTCTTTTGGCAGCACATCTCTGAATACTCACATCCCAAACTAGACTGCTACAAAAAAAAAAAAAAAAAAAAAAGGTAAATGGCAATCACTTCCTGCTGGGTAAAAAATTTAATTCCTTATCCTGAAGTTAAGAACCCACCAAACACGGTGTGGAAGCTAGTAAAGCCCACTATGGGTGTTCTAACTGCTGTTCTCACTGGCACCGTGCCCTGCGAAGTGGAGACAGGCAGAAATGCCTCTGAGTGTAATCCTGGCACCAGAGAAATCATGTTTTCTCTGGGCCAGTCATCCACTTGTGCCTCTATAGCTCCATTACAATATAATTAATTGTTCTGTGTCTCCAGGAGAGCTTCTCCCCTGCCCTCTCCCTAGTATACACCTTGAAAATTAGTTGAGAAAATCTTCTCTCAGGAAGGCAACTGGCTCTGATGTCTATCTTAATACAAAAAAGAAACTGCAATGGGGAAGTGAAAAGAACAGTTTTGTTTTTGTTTTTAAAGGAGAACTGTGAAATAGGATACACCAATATAAAGGACAAATAAGTGACTTTGAGAAGCAATTCTGGATCAGTGCCATCTTTCTCAACAGTCTGATTATGTAAACACTTTTCATGCAGACGAGAAAAACTATTGTTTTTCAGTGCCTACACTGTTCCTGAGATTCTTGACTTCCTCTGAGTCTTTGCGTTTGAGTCTATAAAGGTATTATTCCAGGATTTTCTTCACATTTCTCTATATCCTCAGAAAACAGGACCTGAATGAATCTCTAATCTTGTTTTCTAACCCACTACCTTTACCATGCCTTACAAATGTATATTAATTTCTCCAAGTCAAAGATGCTACAGAGAAGTGGCTAGATATTGAGGACTGGCTTCTCCGTCTGTATCTCTTTTAAGTCAAAATCTTTTATGGTGTATGATCTTTGACAACAGGGACCACTTCTATGAAAAATGCCTGGTACCTAGGAGAATGGGAGTGCCTGATAAATGTGAAATATTAAATTTAGAATGTTATCATAAAATGTGATCTCCTGATTAAGAAAATGGACTTTTCCCAAGTGGTCTTTTATCATCCATTTAAGAGTTACCATTACTGAGCAGAGAGCATTATCTAGTGTTATTTAAGAGAGAAAACTGCAAAGTTCATGTCCTAGGGGCAAACTGTCAAATCCATCTAGGTATAAAATATAACAGCAAAGTGTAAGTTAAATCTTGGTGATTCAAATTGTTCTAGGAAGACTGTATTTACTTGTATACTTTTGAAAAGAAGAACCTGAAGGCATTGTCAAAGACAACCATACGGGGAAAAGAACAACATAAAAAGGCTTTAACACAGAGGGCTGGTAAGGATAACTTCAAAAACTGCTAATGAGCTGGGCATAATGATGCACGCCTTTAATCCAGCACTCAGGAGGCAGAGGCAAGAGGGTCTTTTCTGAGTTTGAGGCCAGCCTGGTCTACAAAGTGAGCTCCAGGACAGCCAGGGTTACACAGAAAGATACTGTCTTTGAAAGAAGAGAGAGAGGGAATAAGAAATTGATCATAGGGGCTAGAGAGATGGCTCTGCTCTTCCAGAGGTCCTGAGTTCAATTCCCAGCAACCACATGGTGGCTCACAACCATCTATAGCGAGATCTGGTGCTCTCTTCTGGAGTGCACCTGTACATGCAGATAGAACACTGTGTTAAGTAATAAATAAATAAATCTTTTTTTTTTTTTTTTAAAGAAATTGATCATAAATTATTTCTTCTGAGGAAGGGAGAACTGGCACATTCCTGCACTGAGAAGGCTGAGGCTGGAGGCTGGCCAAGAAGCTGGACTATGCAGCAAGGCCCTGTCTCAACACTACCACCACCCAAACACAAAGACAATACACAAAGGTAATAGAGGTGCAACTATCACCAAGAGCCACCACACAGACATTCACAGAGCACACAAGTATTTGTATTTACCACTTCATGGGGTTATATCAAATTTTATCAGTGTGATCAAAGACAAGGGAATCTGGTCATAAAGCTGAGTGACTTCAAAAGAGTCGGAGGGAGGTCAGAGGCTGAATAAAGAGAAACAGTGGTACTAACTGCATGAATAAGTCTCAGCTGTATCTTCAAGGACTCTTTTGAGAGAGGGTTTCTCTGTGTAGCCTTGGCTGTCCTGGACTCCCTTTGAGGACCAGGTTGGCCTTGATCTCTCACAGAGATCTGACTGCCTCTGCCCCCAGAGTGCTGGGGCTAAAGGTGTGCACCACCATGCCTGGCTTTCAAGGACTCATTTAAAAGGTTAAAAAGTGGACTGGGATGTAAGTCAAGAGTAGAAAACTTGCCTAACATGTACAAAACCCTCAGTTTGATTCCAGGCATCACAAAATTATTGGGGAAAAAAGAGAAAAGCTCTCCCCGTCTTTTCAGTGATGGTTTTTATTACTGTCTTCATAACCAACATAAAAGACCCCACTGTTTAGGCCCAACCTAAACAGAAGTCTGCTTTTCCGTTTGCATTTACACATACACACATCTCAGAAGCCCACATCTGCTTCTCTTTGCTTTCAAATAGGTTATCGTTTATGATGAAAGTTTCTGGCTTTGATACTACAAATAAAAACAAGGAGTATTTTAACAGGGCATGACGTCTTTTTTTAAAAATTTTTTTAAGACTTATTTATTTTTACTATGTATACAGTGTTCTGCCTGTGTGTGTGCCTGCACACCAGAAGAGGGCACCAGATCTCATTAAAGATGGTTGTGAGCCACCATGTGGTTGCTGACAATTGAACTCAGAACCTCTGGAAGAACAGCCCCAGTGCTCTTAACCTCTGAGCCATCTCTCCAGCCTGACACAAAGTCTGTTTTAGCTAAGAATTGAATTTTTTTTTTTTTATTATGTACACAATGTTCTATACACCTGCATGACAGAAGAGTGCACCAGATCTTATAATAGATGACTGTGAGCCACCATGTGGTTGCTAGGAATTGAACTCAGGACCTCTGGAAGAGCAGCCTGTGCTCTTAACCTCTGAGCCATCTCTCCAGCCCCAAGAATCGAATTTTTAAAATTGAGAGTTAAGGCCTGAATTATCTGGAGGAGAGTTTCTTTGCTTTACTAAGGTATGGAGAATCTTTTTAGATTCTGTAAAAGTTCCCCAAGTAAGCTGTGTATTCCACTTCTAAAGCTGGTCTTGGCTTCAGCAAATGATGAACTGAAGAGCATACATGGTAAACTATCAGAGTAAGAAGGCAGTAAGCAAAGGCAGTTTCTACTTTCAACATAGGAAGAAAGATTTAAGGGGAAAAAAGTAAGAAAAAAATAACAAGTTTACAGTCATATAGCAAGAACACTGCTAGCATTTGGATCCCTGGCCTGGATGTGAGAATAAAGGTTTTTAAGTCTTCCTAATAGCTCACATGGCAGAAACTTCCAAAGCGCTTGCCATAGTACTCAGGTCAACATATTCATGAGTTTATGAATTTCAAGAACACAAAAAGTTCTGAGAGCGGCAAGCATAATTTTATGAAAATTTGAAGGAAGGTTGATATCTCCTGCCTCAATTTCCTTCCTGGCTGGGATTTACAGGTATGGACCACCATGCCCACCCAGCTAAATGAAGATTTGTTTTTGCTTATAGAACTGAGGAAACTGAGACCAAAGCCTTGTATACACAACGCAGGCACATGCAGCCCTTAACTATTTTTACACTTGTTTGAGACAGGGTCATGATATAGAACTAGGGTGGGCCTCATGTGTTAGCCTCCTTCCCTCTGCTTAGAAAAGCATGCCCTGAAGCACCAACGTGAGCTTTCCTTTAGTAATCTTAACTAAAGAGGTTGTATAGGACTCCATATAAAACCAGACCAAAAAAAAAAAAAAAAAAAAAAAAAGTTAATTCTGAAGGCATTAATTGGGCACCACATGCTTATTATCATTTTTAATCAAATTATACTTAATAACTTACTTAATGAATTATTCATACCTGATTTTCTTATAGGGACAGTCTAGAGACACACTCTGACACAAAATTCTAAAAAGAAAAGTATCTTCAAGAAGCTTTAATGAAATAGTGCCATTGTGTTCAGAGAACAAGTCTTTTAGGCAACTGACTACATAAGGCCTTAGGGAATTCATAATTAAACACGCAAATTTAAAGAAACATACAAGTTTTAAGAAGAAACAATGATTTTTACTAAATCCCACTTTTCATTCTTTCCAGTAGTTATAGTTTTATTCTACTTGGGCATGAAAATGGACTTTTGATTCCAGAGGTGACGAGACTAACTAGAGTTGGGGACTCAACAGAGAAAGTCCTGTGAAGAAGGACCATTCCATTTTCCCCAGAAGAGGAGGAAGCAGCAGTGGATAGTTTCTCCCTGATTCAAAGCTATCCTTCCTGGCTTAAAAATTGCCCCTCAGCCTTCTGTCCAGAGAGTAGAATGCTTGAGTCAGGAGGGTGGTCAGCTTTCTTTGGCAAAATATGTCATCATATGATTGACTGGCCAGGAGAAAAACTACTGCGTACACAGATGACAATTCTGCATTTTTAGCTGAAACTCGACACATGATGTGAGTGGCCTCACTGGCTCCCAGCACTCGTGGTGCGCAGCGACCAGGACTGGGGATGCTGCAGTAGGAGGAAGGTTAAAGGCTCACCACCCTCTGCGCTCTGCCAGGCCTCGCCACAGAGAGTCTGTCCTGACCATCCTCTCGATGAGCTTCTTCCATAGCATGCCGTCCGACGTCACACGGTACCATTCCTTGCACACAAGCTCGGCAGCACACAGTGATTTGGCGTCCAAGTATGACAGAATGTTCTCAGCAATATGGTCCAGACCCCGTGCTTCAGTGAGGGAGAAAGCACAGATAGAGAACAGAGGGGGTGCTGAGCAATTTTTCACAGAAAGCCCTTTAAAGGAGCAGCACATGCTGTGAGATGAAGGCACACCACTGTCCCCAGTGTGGTTCAGTGTCTTTCTCAAACAGAGACTGGGGTAAAATGAGTGTCAATAATTTTTCCATAAGGTTACAGAATGAACAGTATTTTCCATCTTCTGTTAGATAAGGAAGTTAAAGCTAACAACCAGCAACCCCCCAAGACATTAAAAATAAAAAGGAGTCCAGAAAACAGTTCACATCCATCTATATGGATTTCAGCACTAGGGGATGTTCTACGATAGCATCTCAGACTCAGTGATTCAGACCCCGAAATCCTGATATTAGGTCCATTTCTCATTCTGTTCTATTACTGCTGCAGTTCCAAAGCTATTCAACGAAAGAAATATCCTTTAAATGTGCTGGGGAGAGGCAGCGAGTCAGACTGTTCTGGGATATGGAATGTGGGCAAGCACACAGTCGAGGAGTAAACATGTGCAGAACCATCCTGAGAGGAGAGACACGCGGGGATATTAAGGTTCAAAGTTGAGTTTGAGTGCACGTGTTTAAAACAAACTGTTTTCCTGCTCTAAAACCTAAGAGACAGTTGACCAAAAATATGAAAAACAAAAAACAAAAACCACCTTACCAATAAATAACAAAGGTAGCATTTCAAAGGAAAACAACAAGCTGACCTTGTGTGCTCCCCAATTCAAACTCCCAGGCAAACACGCCTGTCAAACAGTATAGCCACCCTAACAGAACTCCTGTCATTGTTGCTCTGAGGCCACAGGTCAGAAACAAACACTGAAAACTAGTCGTCTTTGAGCTCTTCTGAGGCTCAAAGGTTGGGAAGGATTTGCTCAGTCTGTCTTCTGCAGGCATGAACTAGAAAGAACTGACAACATGCATTTTCGCTTGCGTGTTTCCCCTGAATCATATGGAGACACACTTGGATGCCATTAGCAACAATCCAAATATGCTTATTAAACATTATTCTAATTATAAGAATTGTATGGATATCTGTCATTTTCCAGCAGACTTGGAAGAGAAAGCTTTAAATGGATCTTGTTTGGCTGGCATCACATGTTCATATTTAAGCATAAGCAGATGGAGGCATCCATCACCTAATTCTTATTAAAGGAATATGACTATAAGCCAATTAATGATAATAAACAGTTCTTTATACAAAATACAATGATGTTATATTTCCTGAACTTTTTTTATATTCAAACTTTCTACAGTATCCGAAGTTTGCAAAAGGCGGTCTTACATTTTTAATGGCTACCATCAAATCACTCCTGATCTTTTACAATGTGCCAGTACTAAGTCACTAGAAGTAATTTCACCTAACACTCCAAACAGAACCATTACATTAATGGATTATAGGCAATTTTTGAAGTAGTTTGGTTTACTAAATGCAGCCAGATGGTGTAGGTTTAGAAATTTAGATGGCTGCTAAGCACTGGACGTGATTTAGTACCACATAGCCTGGTCAGCAGATACGCACTAGGGATCAGTATTAGGCAAAATACACTGGTCCAATCAACTGCGGTTCAATTCTTAGTGTCTAAGCTTGAGACAGTACCATGTCTCAATGATTGGGAAGAAAACAGCAATAGGTATACTCAGATTGTACAAAGAAAACTGCTTGCCTGCAGCTAGAAAAAAAGTCCAGTATGTTGCAAGGGGACAAAACCTATTCTATTTAGCAAAGAATACAGGCACAATTCAGTTTTAAAGTGGTTACCCATTATATACAAATAAACATTAAAATTTAAAAGGTAATTAAGTTTAGAAAAACAAAATTTTAAGAAATAGCTGGCAAGGATTAAGGAAGGTAGCAGTGCGCAGTTCTGAAGTGGCTGCCAGCTAGAGCCACATTCTTAGAGGAGAGCTGGTCAGCATGGACCAAAAGCCCTTTACAAGAAGCCAGTGGTGGAGGTGTGCCATTGCAACCCCAGGAGGATGAGGCAGGAGGAATGGTGAACAGTCCAAGTTACACAGTAAGACCCCACCGCAAAAAGGAGAAGTAAGTCTTCACAAAGTTCAGGCTTCAGAGCAGTAGGTGATAGGTTGGTGGCAAAGGGCTTGTTTGGCACTGGGTTCAATTTCCAACACCAAAAACCAAAACACCCATAAACTAACAAAACAAAAACAAACAAACACACAAACAAACAAAAATCATACCACACTGAAACTCTTCATATTCTTTATATAGCAATTTTACTTTGGGTGTTTTCTTCTGAGACTGTCTATAAGATTAATGCATAAAAATTTCTACCATGGTATAATTTATTCAGGAAAAAAAGATTAATGAAGGGGTTAAATAATGTGTTCACCATTGTAAAAAGTATTAGAAAAACTACAATCTTTTAAAAGAACACACACTTAGAAATATACCTTAACATATTTAACAAAAATATGCTGGAAGAACATATGAAGAAAAGCTTTAAAAAACAGACTCCAGATCTATAAGGAGATAAACACATGATTAGAACTTTATAAGAAAAACAATATATATTGGGAGAAACAAAGCTCTCTGTGTAGTGGACTTCTGGGAAACTATATGTTTTTTGTATTTTATATCTTGAGCGTATGTGTATGTTCACATGTGTGACTGGAGATCAGTGAGCCCCAGGGATCTGCCTACATCTGCCTTCCCAGGCTGGGACTGGAAATAAACGCACCCCATCTTTCAGCTTCCTTATGCATTCTCTGGGGATCAAACTCATATCCTCAGCTTGTGTAGCAAATACTCTGCCTACCAGCTGAGCTAGTTCATATAACCATAAAAACCTGTTACAAGACCTGACACTCAACACTAACTACAACGATTTCCCTAATGAATGTGAGCCCATGTATTTTCCATGCTTCGCAGTGTTCTAGAGATCTCCATTACAGATGGGTACAGACACTCTAGAGATGCTACTTAGTTACAGAGTATTTACCTACTTTGCAAAAGAGTCAGGGGTCACTTCACATCTACACACACCTCACCCTTCCAGGGACTGGGGGTGCGGGTCAGCAGCAGAATGTTTGCCCTCTACAGACAAGACCCTGGCTTGACCCACAGAAAATTATGGTATTCTCAAGTATGTCTTGTGTATGCACATGGGTGTGCACGTGTGACACACACAAACATTGAGATGTTATTTCTAAAATACTAAAAAGTGTTTTCAAACTAATTCCTACAAGTCTAAGTATTTTGTCACCGTGGTAGTAGAAGCTGATGTAGGAGGACCGTGGTTTTTTTAGCCAGCCTAAGCTAGGCAGAAAGACTCTGTTTCAAAAAAGAAAGAAACATGTATTTTTATTGTTAAAATTCCCATTCAAATCCAAGTACATGAAAGAAATTGAAAATAAGATACATTTTAAAAGTCATGCCTCAAATCACGTAACACTTAAGGGAATAAAAAACCAAAATATAGATTTGGAACTGCATATAGGTTAAACACAAGAAAACAAGGAACCGAAGTAAAATGAGGTTTTAATTTTGCACTGTGGCTTTTCTTTTATTTTGATGAGGGTGTAACTAGTGACTTGGAGTGTAACTACCTCATAAAGCAAGAACTTTTTAATAATTAATTTACCTTTTGTTTCATGTGTGGTGTCGTGCCTGCATGCACATCTGTGTCAGATCTCCTGAATCTGGAGGTACAGACAGCTGGGAGCTGCCGTGTGGGTGCTGGAAATTGAATTCAAGTCCTCTGCAAGAGCAGCCAGGGCTCCTAACTACGAGCCACCTCTCCATCCCCGAAACAAAATTTTTAAAAAGAGAAATGAAGCCAGGAGTGTTCCATTTGTAGTCCCAGAACTTTCAGTGCCAAGGCAGAAGGATTGCTGAGTTTGAGGCATGTCTTGGCTACACAGTGAATCTGAGGCTACCTTGGGGTAATGGAGGTTATCATGTGAGAGGAGGAACTGAGAGGAGTAAGGCCGCAGATCCAGTTCCATTATTGCTAGAGCAGATTAACTAGACTGCACAAGGACACACACATACCTGGCAGAGCAGTTATGAAATCCCTCTGGAGCATAGGCTTCAGATAAGAGTTGATGTGCCCATGTTGGTAATGACACATTTGGGATATGAGATGCTCTACGAATTCCACTTGATCAGACTCTGACCACTGCTCAAAGTACTTGACGCACAGCTCCTTCTCCTTCTCATAGCTTGCTGAGAGTTTCCGCTGCTTGGGCACGATCATACTGGAAGTGCCATTGGCAAGTTTTGTCTATAGGAAGGGAGGGATTAAATGAAACATTTAACAGTAAGCATTGAAAATGAGGAAAACAGTTTAATTTTCTGGTGTGGTGTGCTAACTTGTATCTTTACAACTGAGTTATTCTTATTAGATTTACTGTAATTGAGTATTTACAAACCATAATTAGGTGGAAAGCCTTACAAATACCAGAGAAAGGTGGTAAATTAGGTATACTATGGGAAGGCCAAACACCCATTTTTAAAAGCTCACACACATTCTTAATTCATGGAGACTGTACAGATAGAAACCGAAAGCCAGAAGTAGATAATTATTACTGGTAAACAAAAAGTTATTTTGCTCTTTCTTGTTTATAACAGTTATCGGACATTTAGATAATTACTTACTTGTTCACCATTTATTTTTTTTTTAAAGTCAAATAAGGTCTTCCACAAAAAGAAAGACCAATGACTATTTAGAGACCTCGTAGTATCTTTGTAGATAAAGCCTGATAACTCATATGCTCAAATTAACCTTTTCTTTCCAAAAATCCTATGTTTATAGTTATCAAAAAATGAAAGGCTGAGCTGTGTATGGTGTAACACACCTGTGATCCCAGCACTCAGGGAAGCAGAGGCAGGAGGATCGCTGTGAGTTCAAGGCAAGCCTAGTCTACAAAGCAAGTCCAAGACAGTCAAGGATACACAGAGAAACCCTGCCCTGAAAAAAAATAAATGAACGAATGAATAAATGAATGAATAACTTTAGGGGCTATTTTGTAACTGTCACTTAAGCTTTTACTGAGTATCTACAATGTATCTAACACTGTTCTAGACAACAAGAATACAATAATAAACAAAACAACAGAATATCATCAAGAACATATATTCTAAGTTAAGAGGCGCATTATCACTTACATATGTAAATAGTGCTGCTGAGAAAAGCACAACAAAATAGAAAGGGGCTGGAGAAATGACTTAGTGGGTCAAGGCTCTTGCCACCAACCCTGATGACCTGAGTTTAACCCATGGAAGTCACGTGGCGGAAGAAGTGGATGTGCCCCTGCAGGTTGTCCTCTGACCCCTGCACACACACACATATACAATGCACAGATGTAAAAATAAAACTGGGAAAAAGACAGAAGGGGAGTGTGTTATTGTGGCAGGCAAAATTCTAAGCTGGTCCATTAAAATTGCCATTATAGGGAGTGCAGGCCTTGTGGATCTCTGAGTTTGAGACCAGCCTATCTATATAGCGAGTTGCAAGCCAGTCAGGTGTACACAGTCAGACCCAGGCTGAATCCTAGTATACACATACCTTCCCTTAGATCAAACACTGCTGTAGGTGCTATTATGCTTAAAATACGGATACAGTGTTCATAAAAGAAATTACTAAATTGAAAATGGTAGTGCACACCTGTAATCCCAGCATTCAGGAAACTGAGGTAGGATTGCAAGTTTAAGAGCTGACCATATAAAAATTATTCACTTTCAGTACATATTACCTAATGATCTGAGGTCTTCAGAGTTTTAATTTGTTGCTCCCACATGGGTGCAGAGGAGGAAGGCGGACTGCCACTGATCATCAAGGAAACCATGACACTGAGGTTTCCCTGTAATGATGAACTGCGGTGCCACCAAGAATATGCTGTGAGGATTTCCCCAGGAGCTTCTAGTTAAGAACTTGGCTGGTTAACAGACTAATTTCAGTCTTGTGACCCCTGACCTGAGAACACAGCCATGCTGGGTCCTACTTCCCAGTTCTAGAACCATGAGCTAATGAAGAAGTGTGTTGGAACTTGCCACACCTATGATAACACAGCAACTTAACTCTACTTGGTTATACAGTTTTCCTAACGGGGTGATAGTTGAACCTAATAGTTTGTTACATAACCTAGGTAACCTAGGTGGTGGGGATTTTGAGCGCAGAGGCAGCATTCTGTGGCATGCTCAAAGGCCCCGAATGAGTAGGCACAGAGAACACTGAAGAAGGAGTCTGAGCCTGACATTCAGTCCAGTTAGGGGATGACAACTAACATCCATACATGTCCTCATCAGCTCCCACCTCTCCTCACAGAGGACAATGCTCTTCCCACCAAGAGAACTGCAGTAACAGGATGTGCACAGTCACAATCCAGGACGGCAAGCCCAGCTAGCTTCCACTTGCTCTGAGAGCCTGAGCGGCCATGCTGAAGAAAGAAATGGAGGATGAGAGGCCAAAGGCTTTGGCCAAACACTCTGAAGTATGAGAATGACACATACAGTGTTCCTGACTGTGTGGAGCATGCACCAGGAGGTCAAGAGTAGGCAGCAGTAGGCCACCTTAGCTCTTTTACGAACCACTGGAGAGAAGTCATCTTTCAGACTACAGTGGTGAGTGTAGAAGTGGTGAGGAAGCATTAGTATTCAGTATATTGAGGGTAGGGCAGATCTCACTGAATAAGCGTGGAAGAAACGATGAGGCTCCCACCCAAGTTTACAGTTGCAGAGCAGTGGGAACAGTTAGAGTCAACAGACAGCAACTCTCAGGAAAGTGATTTTTATAGGGGATGACACAAATGAGTGCAACTGGATACCTTTCAAAGTAAATTGACGGACAATGGACGAATTTGCCTGAGGTGACCCTAATGAGGCATGGAGACCGATGTTGCTGTAGAATTCATCATGCTTACATATGCTGAATGTGGCATGTCCCACCTTGGGTACTCCGCCTCTGCCATTAATGCAAGGCCTGTCTTATCTGCTCAAACACTTTACAAACAGAATCTGCTCAGCAGCTGATCAGTGGATTTCCAAAACAGCACAAAGGCACCTGCCACAATGAAAGAGTGACCCCTGTACGCAGCAAGTGTGGTATGTAGAGCTGAGGATTTTCTAGCATAGAGACCAAGGATCCCATACACAGCAGAAGTGATACCTGAGAACCTGCTGGGCACTGGCCACGCGAGAGAGCTCAAGCTACCATATAGGCTGTTCGCAACTTAGCAAAGGGGACCTCATCAAATAAGGGGTAAGATTCAGGGTGCTAACAAACAGATGTGCTCATAAGCTTAACCAAAAAAAGCCACTTCTCACCCCAACAGCCAAAGCCTACAACGTAACCATTATCTCTGCCATAAAAGGTAGAAATGGGCTGAAGATGTAGCCCAGTGGGCAGAGCACATGCTTAGTGTGGACTATGCCCCAGTACTATGCTGTGGTACAGGAAGATAAAAAATTTAAGGTCATCCCCATTTACATAGTAATTTGGAGGTCAACCTGGACTAAATGAGATTGTACCTTACAAGCCAAACAGCTCCCCTCCAACCTCAAAAAAAAAAAAAAAAAGTGAACAAACTGAGTCAGAGGCTAGAGCTGTCCTCTGGTTAAAGATTAATCCAAGCAACAGAGCCATCAAGTTGATGAAATGGTTCTGTGCTGCAGGATATTTGACCCCACTGTGAACCCCAAAATTGTGAACTGTAAAACCCTGTTTATTGTTTGGTGTGGTTGAGCCCTATCACACACCCTTAGTCCAAGAACTTTCTCTTTATTATAAACAGGTGATTATGGTATGGTCAACCAGCCCTAGCGCACACCTTTAATCCAAGCGCTTTCTGTACACAGAATCTAATAATCTTAACCCTAAGTCAAGAGGCAGAGCAAGAAACCAGCTGACAAGGATTAAAGAGTAGGAGGGACTTTGAGTTAAGGGGTATTTAAGACAGCATGAAGAAGGAGCTTTTAGCTCAAGCTCTGGCTTTAGCTTCTCAGCTCCCTGGGTTTTTGGACTTTGAACTAGCAAGCCTTTGGCTTTGGGTTTTTGGCTTTTTCCTCCTGGGTTGTCAACTGTACTGAGCCTTTTGGGTTTTTTACATCTAGACCTAAGCTGAGAAAGAAGGTTAGCTGATGACCATCTTTGCCTCTCTGAGATAGCATCGGACCCCTGAGTCCTTATTAGAAAAATAGAACAGTTGGGATTTTCTATCATTTAAATATTCTGTTTCTGCTTTGCCTAGACAAGGCATATCTATAATCACGGGGAGCCATATTTGCTGCTGCAGCTGTCAGGTATCAGAAAAAACTACCTAAGAACTGAGGGAACCTGGAAAATTTCTTGTTGAGGCTAAGCTTCAGTCAAGGCTTTCTTATGCTTTCAGTGATGAAATCCTAAGCAGGTTTTAAAACATTTACCAGCTACTTTGGGCGACTCTGGGGTTCCTAAGTTGTGGTCACCACTCTTTACAAGCTTACTGATTTCCTGGTGAAAAAGACATGTACCTGAGACATGTACCACTGTCACGTCAAATGGCATCAATCCTGACCATAACCCCATACTGTCTTAAAGTTGTGGCCCTGGAATAAGAACACTTACTGGCTTTCTGTTCTGTGTCTGTTCCTCTCACGTATAGAAGGAGAGTATCAAGAACCATTTCAATGGATTTTTGTGAGAGAAAAAGTAAGCCTGCTTATGAGTCACAAATAGGGAATATTTAGTAGCCCTATTCCTACCCATGCTAGTGAGCAAACTGAGTTCCTCTATACCGGCTTGGGCAAGCACTCTACCACTGAAGCTACATGCCCAGACCAAATCAATATTCTAATACAACACTGCTAGAGCTGGGCTTTCCCTCCAACTTTTGAAAATACATATTTCTTAGTTTAGATTTAGTAAATATAATATGCATAAGAGATCTAACATTAAGTGCACAGAGCACTGAGTTGTCACAGACGCCCAGGACAACCCCAGACCATGAACCAGGTCAGCAAGAGCACCACAAGGCCCCTGTGTACCCCTTTGTGGTCCCCTGCCATCCTAAGAGTAACTGGTTTCATTTCACTTTTGGGACAGGGTCTATTATGAAGTCAAGACTAGCTTCAAATATGTGTCAATCCTCCTGCCTCAGCCTCCAGACTTTTGGGATTATATGGTATGCCACCATACCCAGTTCAAATACAATTTTTGAAAATAATCCATTTAAGTAAGTTAACACAGCATAAAAAAATAAAAATGAGAAACCCCCACCACACAACATTTAGAAAAAAATTTGACAA